TTTTTTTTTTTTTTTTTTTTTTTTTAGCTAGCCAGTGTGCTCTAACTCTCGAAGGAGGAAGGTGGCCTGGGCCAGGCAGCCCAGCTGTCTGGGCAGGCTGGACTTTCAGGCCAGGCTGGGCTCTGGGAGGAGGTGCAAGAAGCCCCTCCTGCAACTGTCGTCAGAGGCCTTCTGCAGGGCAGCCTTGGGCTCTGAGCACACTCCCACAAGGGACTCACGGAGCACTTAAGTTTTCACAGTGCACTGCCTTGGGAGGAAAGTGTCACCATCTTTGTGTGATGATGAAAGTGAGACCAAAGCATGTTAAAGGACTTGCCCAGGGTCATAGGCTAGAAAGTGACAAAGCTGGTTTCTTTCGTTCCAAAGCTAACATGGCTGAGACCTTGCCCCACCTCCCAGGTTCCACACACCAGCTTGGAAACTTGCTGTCAGGCCATGGGCCTGGCCTTACGGTGGTCTAGCCTGAGGAAGCAGGATCAAAAGGCCCAGCCTCAGACCAGCGCTGCCCTCTGCAGGCGCCCACCCGCCACTTGGCATGCCCACTGACCTTCCACGACTCAGAGACACTGCCTTCCAGTTCAAGAGCCTTGAGCTGTGGAGGCCCCATGCACCTGGGCCTTGGGAACCTCCCACTGCAGCTGCCACCAAGGGGTTCCCCCTTATAAAACACAGATTTAGGGTGTGTGTGACCTGCCGTGACCCTGGCCCACCCCCAACCCACTTCCTCCCCAGGACAGGTGGAAATGGAGCTGGAGGCCACCCCTGAGAGTGCTGGCAGTGCTGTGGGCATGCGGGATGGGCAGGCTTGCCCCCAGAGGGTCTGGGGTTCTCCAAAGATTCTCTGGCAGTGTGCCAGACCCAAAAAAGGTCAAGGAAAGAAGGCTGCCAGAGGACCCGCCTGGTCCATGCGGACACTTCGCCCGATGGATTTCAGCTGTGGTCTCCTCACACTGGGCATTGGGGGTGAGAATATGGGACTTTGGAGGGGAAAAGGAAGGAGTAGATTCAAGCCTGGAGGAAGGCTGTTTCCTTATGTTACATTTGAGCACGTTGCCTTTGAGAGGAGGCAGTGGTGAGCCATCTCAGCTGGCTGGGGCCCTTAATCTCATCTCACCTTGGTGAGGGGCTCACAGCACCCCCACCCACAGGTCTTGGGGTCTTTTGGGACTTCCTCCATTGCTGCTCACAATCCCCTCCACCCAGGCCCAAGGCCAAAACTCCTCCATGGGAACCCCAAACCTGGCTCCATAGACCCCCATTCTTTACCTTTCTCCCAGGCCCTGACTCAGCCTGTCTCTGGTCAAAGGAGGGAGAAAGAGGCACTCAGTGCTGTTTCAGGGTTTGGGCCCTCACCCACCAAGGGCCCCTGCCTGTGAGGAAAGCCCCTCTGGGTGGAGGCAGGTCTCACCCCACATATAGACCTAACAAATGTCTGTTGGCTGAAAATCAGCCCTTCTTTGGACGCTGCAGCCCTTGGTGTCACCATGAGGCAGCACAGCTATGGAACTGGAAAGCCACCAGATGCAGCCTTATCTGAGTCATCCACTGGCCCTTGAAAATCTCTCTTGCTGCCCCCCCACCTCCCAACTCCCCCACCCGCCATGAATGGGTGAAAACCTGACAGACACAGGATTCTACTTAGGAGGGAGACCCAATGGTTCTGTCACTTCACGGCACAGTCTGGGCCCAGGTCCTGGTCAACTCAGGTGGGGCAGGGGCCTGCGGTGTCAGGGGCTGCTGTGTAGCTGGCCTTAGCCCCTGGAACTGTGCTCTGGGTTGGCGGAGGTTTAGCTGTACCTCCCCTCCTGTGGGCATCCCCATGGGTCCTCAGGGCCTGGCCATTGTGGGCACTTCTCCCACCCCAGCTAAGGTTTCTCACAGGGGCCTCTAAGGGAGCCAGGTGCCCGACACCCCACACAGCTCCACGTCTCACTGAGTTCTGTTCACCCTCCAGGCAGCCTCCTGGGGCTAGGCCTGAGGGCCTCCCTGATTGTCCCTCACATAAGGCCCTCTCTGAGCCACAAAGCAGCCAGCCTGCCTCTTGCCCTGTAGACTTTGCGGGGGAGGGAGAGGGGTTGAGAATTCAGTCAGTACACTGGCTTTCTCACTCCTCAGGGACACACACCGTGATGCTCTCTGGGGGCTCTTTAAAGCCTCCTTCCCTCTGGCTTGAAGTGAAGAGAGGACACCCGTTGAACTCAGCTCACCTCCGCCAAACCGCCTCCTCTCACCTCAACACCTGACTTCTGGGTTCCCTCAGTGTGGTGGGGGTTCTGGTGACCAAATTCTGCAGCTGGTGTCAGAGGTCAGGGCTGGGTGAGGTCACGTCTCCGCACACACCCGCCTTCTCCCACCCAGTGCTCAGTCCACATCTGTATGATGGGTGAATGCTAACTGCTCCCAGAAGGGCATGTCCAGGCACTGCAAGGATTGCGGACCACAGGAAATGGGTTTCATTCCAGCAGCAGCACGGTGTGTGGACCAGGCTGGCCACCGGCCTTAAGGTTTGGCCCCTGGTACTCAGGCCTGGAGACAGGGCACTGGAAGCTGAGCATAGGGAGGGCCTGGCCCTGTGCCTCAGGCTGACCCGGGGAATTCCGTGTTGCCTGAAATGCCCTAATTATCAGTTGATTCCTTGGGGAAGTGTCTACTCAGCCTGCCATCAGTCTCGGTGCCTGAGTTTTCTCAGCCGTAAATAGGTAAATAGCAGTGCCAGCCTCTTAGTGGATTTGTGTGAAGTGCTTAGCACTTTCTGATTTACACGCATAGTTCCATATATGTTAGCTCTGTCCCTCAGGTAGCCGGAGCAGGCCCCCAGCCGCATGGCCCTTCCTTTGCACACCTGAGCCAGGCGGAACTGCCCTGGTGAGCCACCTGAGACCTCCTCGCCATGTGGGACCTCAGACATCCTGGCCCATGTGGCCTTCCTTTGGCAGAATCTGCCACTCAGGGCTCACAGGACCTTTACTCTGGAATGGCCGGGCTGGACATTGGGCATGACTCCCAGGGCCTCCAATTGGTCCTCTGTCCTGCCACAGGAACAGCAAGGACACTTGTATCAGACCTCCTTGGACACAGGGCCTCCCTCCCACATGCCCACAGGGAATGGGGACTGGCCGCATGCCCAGGAAGGAACCTCCAGGGCCACCAGACTAGGGGCCCTGAATCCAAAACATGGCTGGGCTTCAACCTGTCAGACCTTGAACCAGTCATGTGGCTTCTCAGAGCTTTGTTTGCTCTACATTCAAGGTCCATCCCCAACCCCTTCAGGGGATGTCATGGTAACAGATGAGGCCGTGACCACCAAGGGGCTTTGTTTCACACATAAAGTAGGATTCACATTTTAAGATCCAAGCACTTTAGAATCAGGGAAATATGTCATATATTTTTTTTCTGTGGCTATTTCTGTCTCTCTGTCACCTGCCAAGTGCCACTGCCATTCCTGGGTAGCTTACAGCAATACTCTCCAAAGTAAGCTCCTTGGAAAAGTGAGTGTTAAGCTGGCAGGGCCAAGTTTTCTGGACTAAGTTCAAAGACAGGCAGCCTTTTCCTGCTTCACAGGGGACGAGGTCAGTTTTCAGGACTAGGACTTCTGATCATGGAAAGCTAGGCCATTTGGACTCAGCCCCAAACCGAGGACAAGTCAAAAGCTGCTCCAAAAAAATTAATACATCTGCTTGGGGGTCCTGGGGGGCAAACAAGCCAGTGAGGACTCTCAGGGCCAAGGTCTGGGAAAGTAAGTAACCCAGAGATGTGTGCCTGGCATGTGGGGCTATTCTTCCCAGGGTCCCGCTGGTCCCAGAAGATACAAAAAGCTGCTGAGCAGAGGTGTTAACAGCTTCTGGGGCTAAGGAGGTAAAAACTCGGCCAACCAAGAAGAGGGCTGCCTGCAAACATTTCATGTTTGGGGGTTGGGACCGCCGAGGGCTTGGCCTCCAGAATACAGATGAGCTGGAAGCAGATCAGCCTTCTGAGGGACTGCAAGTCAGCTCAGCCCCGGGACATAGGTGAAAGCCATCCTGGTCCGCTGGATCTCAAGCCATGTGCCAGATGTCAACATGACGCTCATGGGGGGAAGTAACTTCATCTTACAGCTCCAATTATTTCTACAGGTATCAGATATAATGTGTGGGACTCAATCAAAAATCATATGAGACAAAAACCAAGAATAACAGCAGACACTGGAAACAGACTCATGGAGGCTCCAAAGTAGGGTTATTAAACCTTAAAGTAGCCGTGCTTCATATGCTAAAATATATCAAAGACAAAAGGCAGTTTTGATAGAGAGCTGGAATTGATTTTTAATCAATTTCATTCTTAAAATGCAGGATGCTACAACTTCCCTGCACGGGGCAACAGATGAGAAATGAGTAGAAACCTCTGGGCAGAGCCAAAAAGGCAATTGTGGTACATTCAGGGATGCCAGTGCAAGCGTGTGTCTGCAAGTGACAGTACAGCATGTACACGCCATCCTACTTCCTAGCAGCAAACCTGTTGCTGGTTTGTAAGAAGCAATCAAACACAGACACTCCTGAAACTCAGCACACCATGATCTGCAGGCTCTTTCATAGGCACCCCTGGCCCTCGGCCCCTGGCCCAGAGCAGTGGTGGAAGGAAGTAGCAGCATTTGAGCATGTGTTCTATGCCAGGCCCCAGCCAAGGGCTTTCCATGCATTGCCACATTTTTCACAGCCCTATGAGGAGGATATGACTCTTCTCCCTATTTTATAAATGGAGAAACTGAGGCCCAGAGGCCATGTAACATGTTTGAGTTGCCCCCACTAACAGGCACACAGACCCAGGTCTGCCTGCTCCTGGAGTGGGCCCCTCCCCACTTACTAATTTTGGGGTATCCCTGGATGCCTGTGGCCTTTCCACACTCATTAAACACTGACTGCATACAGGACCCTAATCTGGGAGACCTACTGTTAAGGACCTAGGGCCAAGGCATAGGTAGTGACAGCACTATCACGGATGGGAGGGCCTGTCCATCTCCTCCTCTCTCTCCTCTTCTTCCTGCTTCTGGAACTCAGGGTCCAGCATGCAGAGAGGGCACAGGGATGGACCAGGGATGACCCAGGCCACAGGAGAAGGAGTAAGGGCCACAGTGCAAAGCCTGTTGTGGCCATCAGATCCCTCTGGGTGGGGCTACCTTCTGGGGAGCTGAGGGGCGGCCCCGCTCCAGCCCAGATCCCAGGTCCCTTCCCAGGGAGCCAGTGCTCAGAGAGGAGCTGAGGGATAGCGGCACTGTTTCCAACCCAGAGTGCAGGCAAGGGACTCAGCCTTCAGACAGGCTGGGGGGCCAGGAAATCCAGGCTGGGGCCTGTGGAGGATCCAGGTGGAGGCAGTGGTGGCTTCTTGCCTGGTGGCTTTACCTGATCAGATTGGTCAGGCAGGATGGGGTCCCTGGGGGCTGGCAGGTAGTGGGATAAGGTAATGGAAGGACAAGGAAAAAGAGCTTCCCTGGGGGAAAGGGGCAGAGTGAAGCTGGGACAAGTAGGGGAGGCAGGTGAGGATGGGGGCAAGGAGACTGGAGAGGAGTGGGAGAGCAGGTGCAGGGGGAGGGACAGGTGGTGACAGAGCGTGGTCGGCAGGGCCTGCTCTCCCAAGGAGCTGAGGAAGTGGTTCCGATAGGTGGAGAACAGCATCTTCCCAGTGCTGACATGTTACAGTGAGGAGGAGAAGGGACACACACCTGAAAGGACCTGTTGGCTCTGTAGCTTGGCAACAATTATGTGTGTTTTTGAGAATGAAAGAAGGGGATCATGAGCAGGCAGGGGATGGGATGGGGTCAGGAAGTTGGAATTGGAGGACACCGGCCTGGGCTCAGGGGAAAAGAGAAATCCTCTGGTCCAGGCCAAGTTAAAGGGGGAAGGCAGGCAGCCCTGGACATCAGCGAGCAGCTAGAAAACCCCTGTTATGGATTCAGAACGAGACAGGTAAGGGGTTGGGAGAGGAAGCAGAGCTGGGTCTGTTGGTCCCACTGCCGAATGGACCAGACCCAGCACCCAGACCCCACCAAGTCCCCCAACCCTCCTGCCCTCCTGGACTCTAGAGACCCCAGATTGAGCCTCATGCCTTCCTCCTCACCCACGCCCCCACCCCTGGCACCAAGGAATTAAGTGGGGGACTCACCTACGGGGGTCCTACAGCTTCAGGGAGGTGACCCGGGGAATGTGGAAGAGCTGAGTCTCCTCAGAGCTGCTGGAGCTGTGGGGTCACAGAAAGAGCGTGAGTGGCCCCAGCACAGACCCTCAGCACCACACAGAGACAAACCCGGAGCCCTGGTCTTCCCGCCTCAGAGGCTCTCTGGGGGTGGCAGGGTCCTGGTGGATATGGGGCAGGACACGGAGGAACTTTCTGGCCCTGGGACTCTGCATGAGCTTCCTTGAGCTGGGGCGTCTTCAGAGGGGTACAGCAAGGGGCTGGGGCTTGGTGGCTGGAAGGACGCCTCCCTGGGCTTCTGCTGCCTCCATGGTCCTGGCAGGCCCCTCACCTGAGGCGTTTCCAGATGGGATGGCAGTATTTGGAGGTCTTGATAGCAAAGATGATGCTGGGGACCAGGAGGAAGGTGCACCACCCCATGCAGAACCAGAAGGCATTCTAGAACAGGGTGAGGGGTTAGCTTATGGGCTGGGCAGTGACTTCTTCCCATCCCGCTCTGCACCCCAGCATCCCACTGAGTCAGTGAGGGGCATGGGGAGGTGTTCTCAGGAGCGGGCCTGGGGGCATGGGCTCTGCCTCACCTCGCCTCATGCCCTGCTCACAAGCACCTCCCAGGAGCCTGGATGAGCTGCGGGCACTCACCCAGGGGTCAGCCATCATGTCACACAGGATCACACGGCCATTGTCCAGGGCTCCAGAGAGGGGCTGGCAGGTGGCGATGTGCTGAGTCACCTGTGGCATCAACATGAGGCAGGTACACCCAGGCCCACAGGTGTATACCCCATGGTCAGAGACAGAGGTTGACAGGGACACAGCTAGGCCCAGGGGCACAGCTATACACAGACACATGGATGCAGGAACACAAAGATGTGAGGACACACCGACAGGCTGAGCTCCTATATCAGGCTGTTTTAAGCTCCTACTATGTGCCCGGCATTGTGCTTTCAGTCACATTCTCACTGAGAGGCAACATGTGTGTGTGCATGTGCACACATGTGTGCACATACTCACACTGGCATGCATACACACACTCAGGGTTAAGCAAAACCCCCGCTGGCTTCGTGTGACACCCTGACAGCTTGCAGAGGCTGGGGTCAGCAAGCGCCTGCAGGAGCAGGTAGGCTTGCCCTCAGACAGGCTGGGCAAGGGGTCAGCACAAGAAGGATGTGGGGGCGAGGTGTGGACAGCATGTTCTGGAGTCATGGCTGGCACCACTCATACTCAGGCCTCAGAGAAGTGCTGCCGGAAGGGGGGTGGGCAGAGCCCAGCCAGCAAGCAGGGGTGTGGATGCCAGGTTTGGGAGTCTGGGCTCCGTCCCGAAGGCCCAGGGCACCCCCAGGGCTCCAGGGGTGAATGACTGGTACCGCTGGGAGTGAGTGATGAGTATTGGCTTTGAGGCCAGGAGGGGTGTGCGCCCCACTCACCTCCTCTCTCACCCAGACCGTGTACTGGGAGAAGTAGCCCATCTCCCGGGTCAGGAAGCACTCACTTTCCTGCAGGAAAGAGGGGAGCTCTGGGATGGCAGGAGGCCCAGGAACCAGCACCCCACCCCCTACGCCTAGCACCATCAGGACAGGCTGAGATGGCTCTTCTGGGGGCCCCGTTGAGGGGACAAGGCTGGAGGAGAGGCCTGGGGTGTGAGTCCTGTGTGCCTTACCCCTTCACCTCAGCCTTTCTACCCACCCCTGGCTCTGAGGAAGCACCCCCCCCGCCCCCTCCCCCCACCCACGCTCACATTCCTCAGGATACGGGTGGCCCAGGCAGGCAGCGTTCCTTTTAGGCGAGTGACCCTATCCAGGACACTTGAGGCCTCCCCCTGGGAGAGAGGAGAGGGGTTCAGCTCAGTGTCCTGCTCAGTCAGGGAACAGCCACTCATTTGTTAACTCAACATATAACACACAACTACTGAGCTTGGCCATAAGGACAGAGGCCCAAAACAGTAGTCCTCAAAAACCTGCCCACCCACCCCGAATTCTTCCCACCTCAACCCTCCACCTCGGGTGGGACTGGGCAGAGCAGGGGAGGTCCCAAGCCAGCTGGGACTCTTCTTCCTCCCGCCCTCGGCTGCCCGCCTGCTGCACCCCGCCCTCCCATCCCCAGAAGCCACCTGGAGCTTTGATGTGGAAGATGCCAGAGCCCTGACACTGACATTGAGCTTGGCCTGCGGAGGAGAGATGGGGGCTGGTGAGGGGACATTAGGGTTCGGGCGCCTGCCTCCTCTTTCGTGCCCCCTCCCTGCGTCCACTCTCCCCCAGGCCCTGTGCTCCCTGGGCCTCCAGACTTACCACAAGGCTCTGCTGGGGGAGGACCTTCTCCTGGTAGAGGTTTCTGAGCCTGTGGGCCTCCTGCTGCAGCTGCTTCCCCAGCCCTGAACTGCCCTGAGGAGGGAAGGAGACAGATGGCCCTGTGCCCAGGACAGTACAGCCTTTGCCAGCATATCCTTTACCGAGCCGTTCAAGCAGACACACTGAGCGATGTCAAAGCACTGGCTCAGAGGTGGAGAACCGAGGCCTCCTGGGCCTGAGCTGGGTTTCGGGGGCCTATGCCCAAGTTCTAGGTCCACCACCAGCTCACCAGGTGCCCCTAAGTCAGCCACAGAACCTGTTTAACGGCAGTGGAATCCGCTGAAACAGATGGGATCTATATGATATCTGGGGAAAAACTTTCAAATTCTAAATATTTATAAATACAAAATACTGGTTTTTTTCCCAGTAGACTTCAAGGTTCTGGTGGGGACTCCATCGCGCTGTCCTCAGGGCCCCTGTCCCAGTGGATCCCATAAGCAATGAGCACTCAGAAATGACTGTCTCACTGCGTGATGTCAGACCAGTTACTTCATCTGATCTTTACAGATGAAGAGACCAAGGCCCAGAGATGCTGAATGACCTGCCCTTCAGCCCTGCCGGGCTCCCCAAGCCTCACTGGTGGAGCCCCTCAATCCCCTGCCTCTGCCCTCACCCTCTCCCGCTCCAACCACTCCTACCCTGTCCCATAGCCAAGGCCTCGCCCTGATTGCTGCCTGGCCAGTGGGGTCCCTGCTCCCTTCTTACCTGGGTCTGAGCCAGTCCTTCCAGCTCGTGGGCCAGCTTCTCCATGTCGGTGTTCACCACGGGCTTCTGGATCTGCAGGCAGATGGGAGGCCGACAGGGAATGAACCCCGGCTCCCGGCCCAGGTTCCCCGCCTTTTCAAAAGTACTGCACACCAGGTATCCTACTGGGACACATCTGCCACAGTGGGTATCACATGTATCAGACATTTTCCCTTAGGATGCAAGAGAAAAAGGAGGTGCCCTCTGGTGTAACCCAAGAGGCAGCTTCCCATCATCGTTCGCCACAGCAGTGGGTTCAGGACCACGAACAGCAACACGTTCTGGGGATGGGGAGGCATCACTCCCTCCATCAGGATGGAGGGGGGGGGGCCGTGTACTAGGACAGGTCTGGGGCACATAGTCTGGGGACACGGCCCAGGGACATGTTGGGGAGTGAAGGGAAGACAGGGCCAGGACAAGGTGAGACGCACCCCCCAGCTCCTCTGGGGACCTGTGTTCTGCCATGTTCTGGCCAGGGGGACCCACTGCTGACCTGGATGAGGAAGTCAGGGTACTGGAGGTCCCCGAGCCCACTGCTCTGCAGGGCCTGCAGGTCCCGGTGGCCAGCTGGGCTCAGCAGGTCCACGTTCTCCAGATCCACCGTTAGGTTCTGTATCACCTGCTTCAGGTTGGCTGTGTACTGGGAGGGAGGGGACAGGGTAGGGGCATGCCCAGCCATTGAGCCAGGACCCCAGAGTTACTGTCCTGGGTGAGGCATCACCAGAACTTCTGGGTACCCAGGGGCCCAGACTAAATACTCCCAGTCCCACACTGGCCCCCAGCAGGCCTCTGCTTCCCACCTGTCCCTCTCTTAAACTCACCCCACCAAGACCCAGCCCTCCTCATTACCTATCTGGCCACTGGACAGAAACACAGACCTTTCCTGACCACCCAAGACAAAACAGCTCCCCAAGCCCATCTTTATCACATCACCCTGCGTCAAGGTCTTCAGAGCACCTGCTTCTGTGACATTATTTATGTGTGCACTTGTCTATCGCCATCAGCTCCACCCATTCTGAATGAAACCCTTGGTGTCTTGAGCAGAGGCTCACATGGGGTGGGCACAAGACAATGTTGA